TTATAATCGGCAAAAATTACGCCAATTAGTATAACGAAAATCATGTGGTCCAATACTTTTGACCGGGGAGTGTACATCTACTACACTGGTCTACTATAAATTACCAGATTTTTAGTCACGTAAATCAGCGTTCAGTTTCACAATCGATGATTTCTCCCTATTGTACATATAAACAAAAAAAAATAAATTGTTTTTTGTTTCTCTTCTAGTTTTAAATGTGTGAAAACGAACTGTCAGAAACCCAACGTGAGCATACGTTTGCGCCTAAAATTGATATTATTCGTGAACTAACATTTACTTAATAGAAATAAACTGTTTTTTTTCACAAATAAATGACAAATAAATTATAGAAAATATTGTACTTGCTTCAAGAATATATCTTAACATTATCATCTGTAATAAGTAGAAATAATCTAACTCATAGAGAACTAACTTGTTTAATAAGAAAACTAATTTGATAAAATCACGAAGACTAAATAAAAGAACGCTGTCAGTTAATTTGTCAACAATTATATTTTTCAAATAAACAAAAGCATTTTTTTTTAATTTTTAAATAGAAAGTAGATGAACTGAACGTTTACTATTACGAATCTGAAGTACTGTAAGTACCTAAAGGAAAACAATAAAAATTAAAAAATAAAAAAGCCTTTATTGCGGCATTTTGAATTAATAATTTATATGAATAAACCTCATTATTGAAATAAAACTTTTCGATAATACTAAAAGTTAATTCTAGGCAAATTTAATTATAAAGTATAATATACCATCTGTATTTTATTAATCTTTTTCTAAATTTAAATTTAAATTTATTAATTAGTTACTCACTCAGATAATTACGAACCTACATTTATTCTGAATAAGAAATTTTCGTGATGTAATAAAATATAATAAATAAATAATAATACGGCTGCGGTGTTATGAGGTTAACTGAAATTTGAATTCCAATTTCAGACAAAAATCAAATCACAGTTATTGGTATGACAATGAATGAAATGCATAAAATATGATGAGAGTAAAACATTCATAAAGTTGACCTTTCTGATTTTAACCATTATTTTATTGGTTCATGCTTGGATTACCATAGGTTTATCCTATGGAGTATGTGAAATCACCTTTACTGATGATGATGTAATCCACATCAACAAACACGACGCACATTTTTATATCAATTCTATAAAGGTCAAGAAAATAGAATCCTATAATCAAACCTCAAATGGTTTGTACGGGTGTCAACCAAATTGTGGTTGGTCATTTGACCTAAAAGTAGATAATTCTACAAGGAAAATTGCGCCAGTTGCTAGTAAACAGCTTCCTTATACCTGTGCGGACAATCCAACCACGTGGCGAGTTGATCTGAACACCAAAGTTTTGAGTTTTGGAGATACTCCTAATCCAGATTATCCTTTTATTTTTACCTTTTTATCAGAACCATTATCTAGGAATTAAATATTCTTTTGGTAACATTTCTGAAAATATTTATAATCACCTTATTGATTTTGCTCCATTCTATAATCATGCACCGGTGTTAGACCTGGAATCGTCTCAAACCAAGC